AGTTTGGAGGTGTGAACAGTGGGACTGCACAACATCTGGATGGTTTGTGGGCTCAGAGGGACTCTGGGAGCACTGCAGAGAGGCTTACCCTGACCATCCTTCTTGAAATGAACCGTCTTCCTCTTCGGCTCCAAAGCCGCTAGATGGGACCCCGAAAGGCAGGTGGCTGTGCCCAGGTCGGGTGGGGTGGGGTGGGGTGCTGGGACCTGCGCTGGGTGAGGAGGGGTCTGAGAGGGGATCTGCAGGTCCACACAGGCACGTGGGATCTGAGCAAGGTGAGGAGAACACCTGCAGTGCGGGGCAGGGGGCAGCCGGAGATGGGCTACGGGCGGGATCCAGCAAATAGGAGAATAAAGGACAATGGCACCAGGTTTCCACTGCTGGGGGAGCAAGTGAAGACACGCACGGAGGGGTCACAAGAAGGGAGGTGGTGTTGGATCCTAACTGGAGTTACCGGTGTGAACTCACGCCTTTCTCCACTGACAGGTGGAGCTGGAAATGCACAGTGGTCTGAACCCACGTCCACTGTCGGGGCCTGGAGCCTTGGGGGCGGGTGTCCCATCGTAATGAGGATGCCCATGCTGCAGAGGCGGCACTCTGGCATCAGGGGCTCAGGAGGGACAGGGCCTCGCTCAGCAGGCCCCCAGCCTGCTCCCCAGCCCCTGGGAGGCAGGGGTATAAGGAAGGCTGCCTCGTCCAGACGCCCAGCAGAGCCTTCCGACTGGAGTCCCAGCCCCACCAGAGAGGGGTGAGTGTGGGGGGCAGGCAGAGGGCAAGGGAGTTTGTGTGGGGCTTGGGTGTGGGGACAAAGACCCCTGTGCGGCGGCACTGAGGGCGGAGAGGGGCAGTACAGGACCTGGCGGCCACCCTGCCCTCCCGGGGTCAGCCCAGGGGAGGGGGCTGGCTCGGTGGCGGTGGACCCCACCCCTCGTGCCCCTGCAGGCCTCAGTGTGTGAAGCGCTGCTGCCATCTTGTGGTCACCATGGGACACTGACCTGAGCCCGCGCCACCTCTGGAGAGGGCGGGGGCTTCCCAAAGCGCCCACTGTGAGTGCGCATCCCAGACCACTGGGCGGACCCTGCCTTGCTCCTATTGCTGGGATCAAAACACTACGGCCCCCATAAGGGGCAGCAGCCCAGGCCCAAGACAGTGGCACAAGGGCTCTGTCGTTGGAGCTGAGGTTGCAACGTTGTCCTGGAGGCAGCGAGCACCCTCAAGAGCTGGGAAGGCAATACCAGAGGCAGAGCTGGGATCCCTGGAATTACCAGGATTCAGGGGGCAGTGCCCCTGGCTGGGGTCTGGAGCAGACACTGTTCTGGGTGGAGGGGGTACCACCTGTGACAACATGTATGGAGTGTGTTTGTGACAGGTGCTGTGCTACTTGTCCTCTCAGTTACTCCTCCCAACAACCCTGTGAAGGAGTGACTGCTAGAGTCCATTTTACAAGTGAGAAAACAGAGGCACAGAGAGGTTAAGTGATTTGCCTAAGATCACACAGCTCAGAAGTGGGCCACAGCAAGATTTGCTGTTAGAGTCATGGGCCGCATAAGAATGTTTTGGTCAACATACTGCATATACGACGGTGGTCCCATAAGATCAATATCATATAGCCTAGGTGTGGAGTAGGCTATACCACCTAGGTGTGCACACTCGATGATGTTCCCACACCACTACAATCACCTAATGACACGTCTCAGAACGTGTCCCCGTTGTTAAGTGACACATGACTAGTACTTGATGATTGGAGAGGTTGGATGCTGACAGTGGGGCAGAGGGTAGGTGAGGGGGTCAGTGTCCAGGCCTCGCGTGGATTCTGGGGCGAGAGTGGCAGGAGTGGCAGCTCTGCCAAGATGCTTCCAGGCGCTTCCTCACAGGCTCCAGGGGCCGCCTCCCAGGCACCCCTTCCCTGCCCACGGGCCATGCTCCACTCAGCCTCCCCGTCCCTGGCCCAGTGCCACCTCCTGAGGCTGCTGGTCCTCTGTCACGTGGGGCGGCACGGCTTCCTGTTGCTGTTGAGCGGTGGGCGCAGGGCCTGCAGCCTCACACCCAGCCTGCTGCCAGGAAACCCGACAGCCTGGCCAGCGCTGTCTCACCCACCCCAGCCCCAGCGGCCTTCTCTCTGGAGGAGGCGCCCTTAAGGAGGGGATGGCCAGTGTTGCCCCATCCAGGGGAAGCCTGGAGGCCTCCATGGTCCCCCTTCCTGCCTGGCTCTCTGCCGCCGGCCCCACCTTACCTCCCCAGCCTTGGCCCTTGTCAGAGCTCTCCCTGCCCTCCCAGCTCCCATCACTCTGCCTGCTTCCCTTTCCTTCATCTCAGAGCCGGTGGCATTTTTCGTATTCACATCTGTCTTTATTGCCCTTTCCCTCCCGTGTGGCCCACCAGGGCTGGCACTGGCCACATTCACCTGTATTCTCCGCATCTGGAACCACAGCTGGAGTGCCATTGGTGCTCAGGAGATCCCACACCCAGGAAAGGAGAGATGATGCAGTAGCTCTGGCTGCTGCCGGGCCTTTGAGCCCCTGGAGCCCTCGCTGCAGGTCCCCTGGGCTGCTGGGCTCCGAGCCGTGTGAGAGCATCTCTCCCCCAGGGGACCCCAGTTAAGCGGTGCTGGGGAGGAGGGAGGCGGGGCAGAGAGGCCACAGTGCGGAGACAACTGGGTCCGGCTCTTTCATTACTTAGTGTGTCACTAGGCAAGTCCTTGCTCCCCCGGGCCTCAGTTTCCCCACCTGTAAGCAGTGGGCAGAACCGCTGACCCCAAGGGCTGTTGTGAAGTGCAGAAAGGCCAGGTCAGGGTCTGGCACACAGCGGGAGCTCAGCTGAATGTGGGTGTGGGTGGGCAGGGCCTGGGGGGCTGGGGTTGCAGGACAAGGGGAGGAGCCCACTCCTTACCTGTCCTGAGCTGGCCCCGTCCCTCCTGGGCCCCAGCACAGAGGCCTGTGATCCTTTGTGCACAGGTGGTACACTTGTCTGAGCTCACCAGGACAGCTCGCCCCACCATGGTGAGCGGGCGTGGGTGTGTCTAAGTGTGCGTGTATGGCAGCAGTCCAGCCAAGCCAGGAGTCGGGGAGTAACTGATCTGTCATTGTTATTGTCCTCTTATCTGACCACAGATGCTGCCACCCTCAGCCACGCAGGGACCAGCTGAAAAGGTGTGTATTATGAGAAAGAGGGTCACCAAACGCAGGCGCTTTAGGGGCCTTCATCCAGCACATGGACTCAAGCACAACATTCGGCTTGCTGCTCCAGACATTGGTGGTCTGGCGTGTTACTGCTGGCGGTGCAGAATAGCTCAGGAAGGACCTCTGGAAGCCACCTGCTGTCAGGAACACTGCCTGGAGGAGGCAGCAGGGCCAGCAAGATAAAGCAGTCTGGGGCCGTGCAGAGGCGGGCCAAAGTCCCCAGCACCTGGCCACTTCTGAGTGATCTAAAGCAGGGTAAGATGGAGGGGGTGCTGGTGACCGAGTGGAGGCAGGGAGCAGAAGTGGCCAAGTCACATGTCCCAAGTGGCATGGGACATGAACTTCGGCTTCGTCCCAATTTTGAGGCAGGGCTGGCAAGCCTCCACCACCTTGGCATGGAGGGTGGGGGCGTCACCTGTTGAGTAACCAAGCAAGGCTGGACCAGGAGATGCTTAACCCGGTGTGGAAAGCAGAGTCTCCTGGGACCTGGGCTCCCCCAGCCGAGCTATGCCAGGTGTAGGAGGGGACCTGGAGTTTGGGCAGCTGAGCTTGGGGCGCCTGCAGGGCCAGGGCCAGGGAGCCTCCACCTCCCAGAAAGCTGGCACACCAGGCTGCTGGCCGGCTGCCCAGAGGACAGTGGGATAGCGGCTCCCCACAAAAAAAAAAAAGAGGTGGTTGAGGTTGAGGTTGGGGACAGGGTCAGACGGAAGGCCCAGGCGCTGCCTTCCTCCGGGCCTGGCTCCTCTGCAGCTCTGGCGCTCAGCCTGGACCCTGCGCCCCTCCCCTCCTTAGGGGTGGACAAACCCAGGGTCCCATGGACCTGTCCCCGGGCTACTTTCCTCACGCCACCCTCGGAGAGCCGGCTGGGCCTGGCCTCCTGTGTGCCCAGCTCCAGGCCACACCTCGGAAGGCAGCTGCTGCCCGCCCACTGCTGATGGGAGCCAGTGGCCACACTCTGGTCGCCCAGGCCCCCTGGACGCAGGCGTCCAACTTCCGCTGTCCTCCACGGGCTGACCTTCCAGGCAGGTGCATTGCTCCAGCCCCACACCATCCCCGTTCCCTTCTACCCGAGGGCTGGGCCTCAGGCAGTGACTCTGGGGAGCCTGGCATGGCGATTCCAGACCACGGAAGGCCTGGGGCTCTGAGCAGCCATGGACTGAGACAAGAACCGACGGCCCGCGCCTGGCCTGTGCCAGCTCCTCGGCTGTGTGCCAAGTCATCCAAACTGAGCCTCAGTGTCGTCACCAAGGAATGAGGACAAGGCAGTGACGCACGAGGCAGCGCCCAGCACACGATAAACAGCTGTGCCTGTGCCTTTCGTCTGAGCTGGCAGCTCACACGGCCCACCAAGTCACAGACTCTGTCTGTAGAACGAGGTGGCAACTGCACTTCGCCGGGGCAGTCGTGAGGATTCCAGGAGCCCGTGGAGAGCCTAGCAGCGCCTGCGCCTGGGCTTCAGCCCAGACCGCCCTGCCCCCAACACACCCATACCGGCCACATGCGCCCCCTCCTGGTGATCACTGTGCTGCTGCTGCAGAGCAGGAGCCGGCCTGAGGGGGAACAGCAGTGGAAAGATGCCCAAGGATGGAGGGACCTCCCTCAGATGGAGAGCAAGGGGCCTCTTGGCAGGGCACATTGTGGCTGGAGCCTGTGGGGTGTGAGGGCTGCACCTGCCTGTGCCTGGTGACAGGTGCTGCCGGGCCCGGGCCTGCTTCTCCATCTGTACCATCTGCAGACGCCCCCTCCTGGACGGCCTCCCCCAGCCCAAGCAATCCCTGCCCCTGGTGAGCCAAGAATTCACTTCCCACCTGGAGACTGAACAACGGTGCTAGCAGGGTGGTCTTCCACCTTTAATTGGGGACACAAAAGGCACCTCTCCCAGTACAAGATCACCAGCAGGTAGGTGGGCCCAGTGCCCAGGGGAGCCTGCCCGGGAGGAACAGAAGAGGGCTGGAGCAGGAGGCTGTGGAGGAGGTGGTGGGGCCGCAGGTGTTCCAGGCGTCCCGGGCCTCCTCAGGCAGCCTGGGGCTGCTGTGCTCTCGCCCCACCATGTGCAGCTTCGTACCTGGACCATGTGCAGCTCAGCAGAGGGCCACACACCCTGCCCCCATCAGCTGGCCAAAGCCTTTGGGCTCCGTGAGGTAGGGGCACGGAGTGACCAGAGGCTGTGCCAGAAGCTTCTGCTGTCTCCAGCGTCCAGCCAGGCCTCGACTGGCAAGGTGGCTCTGCAGAGGGCTCCTCTGGGGATGGTCCAGCGAGGGTCACCTGGGCCTCAGTCTCAGCAAAGTCGTAGTGGTCAGGTGGGGTGGGGAAGGAGGCAGGAGTGGCCAGGATCCCAGTGGAGAGCTGACCTGTTCCCACAATTCATCTGGCGGTCTCCCCACACCCCCAGGCGGCACAGCCAGCGGCAGCTGGGTCAGCTCCACCCTCGAGGAAGAGAGAAGGGGGAACAAGCCGCCCCCAAAGCAGCCTTAACACCGAAGGAGGGAGAGGGGCCCCAGCCAAGGAGCGTGGGAGCAGGGTGGCCTGGGCTGCAGGGTGCCAGACCCCACACTCATAAGGCAAAGAGCATGTCGTCATCTTTCTCCTGGGTCTTCTTTCGAGGGGCGGCGCCAGGAGGGGGTCCCGGGGGCCCTGTGGCGGAGGGGCTGGAGAGATTGGGCAACCGATCGGCCGCTTTGGCCCGTTCTTCCAGGAACTTGTCAAACTCTAAAGGAAGGAGACAGAGGCTGGAAGTGGGCTCCAAGCTGCGGGGCGGGGCAGGGGGAGCAGGGCCAGAGCCTCCTACCTTCACTGGTGACGCCCTTGGGCTCTTCGGCATCATTCCCCTGGGAAAACAGGAGGCAGAGGTTAGTTGCAGAAGAGCTGCAGTCCTTCCGGCATGGTGGGCGGGGACCACCATGGAGTGCTCCAGACTCAGGCTCTGCGAGGGCCCAGGACTTGAACCTCGGCCGCTCACCCCTTCCTGAGCTACATGGCCCCAGGTGTCATCTGACTTCTCCGAGCCTCGGTTTTTGCCCGGAAAAACTCAGAGGGTTGTCAGGTAGCTAAAACGGAATACTACACACAGAGTGCCAGGCACAGGGTGTGGTGCCCAGGGGCCCTCATGGTGGAAAGGCTGACACCAGGGACTGAGGCCATGCTCCGAGACTGAGGACACACTTGGGGACTGAAGCCATGCTCGGAGACTGAGGCCGCGCCCGGGGACTGAGGCCACGCTTGCTAAAGCTGGGGGCTGGGGAGGGGGTGAGCCTTCTGCCACCCGACAGAAGCAGATGGACCCTGGCCTGACCTCAGGCAGATACACGGTGTCGGCTGCGTGCAGAGGCAGCCTCTGGCCTGGCAGAGCCCAGGCACTTGGTCCCTGGCGCCCAAAGAGGAAGCCCTGAATGGAGGCCGAGGCTGACGCTGTCCTTCTGCTCGCTGGGGGCGGCAGGGCTCTGGAGACGGCCTGGGCCCCCGCCTGCCTCCTCCTGGGCGCAGCAGCCCTCGCCACAGCTGCTGGTCAGTTCCTGCTCTGTGGGAGGGGGCTGCTGATGGCCTTTCCCTCTGAGAGTGGCGGGAGGCCACCTGAGCCACGCAGGAGCGGGGCTTAGCACTACCATGGGTCCTCGGGTACCCTCAGCTCATCCTGTCCTCTCCAGCGGGCTCACACCCTAGACCTGGCGTGGGAGAATGTCTGGGGAGGGAAGGTTCCAGCAGCTGCGAGGGGTGAGGTGCCCAGGCCTCCTCTGAAGGGAAGTACCCAGGAGGCGGGCGGGTGGCAGGAGAACTTCCAGCTGCTGAGGTGTCCTACATTAACGCCCCTCTCCTCACAGCAGTACCCCTTGCCACTTCCTCATGAGAAAAACGGGAGCCCCGTCAGGTGGGCGAGGAGGGGGCCTGAGCCTCTGCCTCTGGGCTGGGCAGGCCCTGACTTACCACGTCAGTGGACAGCCACTGCTCGATGTCCTCCATGAGGCAGGCCTGGGTGACGGGGATCTGGAAGGAAGGGCAGAGGATGAGGCCGGGGCAGTGCGCTGGTGAACACGGCAAAAGGCCCTGCCAGCTCGCTGTCCACAGGCTGGGTAGCCTGGGGCAGTCACCCATCCCTGAGCCTGTGCACTTCTAAAATGGGGCCTGTCAGACCTGCCCCTTTGGAGGGGGTGAGAGCCTGGCATCCCCTCCAAGGCAGCTCCTGCTCAGGGGCCTGGGACCCACAGTTCTGCCCACTGTGCCAGGCTGTGGGCAAGGGGGGCACAGGGCCAGTAGGCTAAGCAGGGGACAGGGAGGGGGCTCTGAACAGCTGGAGCAGGGTCCCGAGGAGAGAATGGCTCCCTGGCTCCCACACGCCGAGGCTGGGGAGCTCTAGGCTGGAGGGAAGGGCTTTGTGCACGGGCCCGGGCAGGGCCTCTGCACAGGTGCTGAGGAGCGTCTGACAGAAGGACGTGCAAAGCCCACGGAGGGGCCGGCCATCAATGAGCGGAAGGGCAGACTGCCGGTCAGGGGCCGCCAGGTCTCCCACACATCTGCAGACTCAGGGTTCATGGCGGAAAGGGGTGCAGAGGGCCAGAGTGGAGGGAGGTGCCAAGATGACTAGAGGAGGCCAGGCTGGTGGACTTGGGCTGTGGCTGTGCACGAGGACATTTCAGTTTGGGCCACAAAGATGGAGGCTCTGCCACAAAGGCCCCTGCACAGGGGCTGGGGGCTTCCTTCTCTACCAGCTTCTTCGGTGGGAGAATCCAGTTGGAGGTTATGGGCACAGATTTTGGAGTCAGAGAGACTGGAATCTGGCTTGGCCCCCTTAATACAGTGTGATTCTGGGCAGGTTACCTAACTTCTCTGAACCTCACTTCGCTCATCTTTAGAGGATACCAGTACCTACCCTCTGGGTTGCTGAGCATTGAGACGATGGCTATAGAGAGCTTAGTGCAGTGCCTGGCACAGAGCAGAGGCTCAGGAAATACTAGTTACCACTGAGCTACTTTGCGAAAGAGAGGGAATCTTTCTCCAACCAAGCCAGTTCAGTCCCCAAGCGCTGTCCCCAGCCCCTGAGGACCCCAGTGGGCAGCAGGAGAGCCCAGAGAGGAGGCAGGAGCCGACTTCCCAGCAGCAGCAGCAGCAGCAGCAGCATCAAGTGCTCTGGGCCGCCCACACCAGCTCCCTCTCCCACTCAACTCTCTGCTGGTGCTCGGCCCAGAACCTCTCAGCTCCAGAGGGGCTGCCTGGGCCTTGCTTCCGAGTCAGGAGCCGAAAGAGGGCGCTGAGGGGCCGTGGAAGCAACAGTGGAGGGAGCAGGACTGTGGTGAGCGCTGGGTTGGGCCCAGCAGGCTCTTAGCTGCCTGGGCACGCACAGCACCGCTCACTCTCCTCTGGATCCGAGGGTCCTGCTCTCTCCGACAGCACCACCAGGTGGGCCCCTGCGAGTGGCAGTCCCAGCTCCCCGGGCGGCCAGCCTGGCCTCCTCACCATGCCTTGTCTCACCATCCAGTCACTGAGGCTCCTCTCGCTGCTGCCTCCCATCTGGGTGAGAAAGGGTCTCGCTGAGGGTGGTGGGAAGGGCAGGGCCAGGGCCGCAGGTGTGCCCACAGCCTTCCCCAACAGCAGGCTTGCCGCCACTGAGGCGGCCCGTGTGCGTGCATGTGTGTGCATAGGCAGGTGTGTGCTGGGTGTGCAGGCAGGTGAGGGGTGACAGGAAGCAGCAGAGGGTCTCAGTGTGGAGTGAGCCGTAGCGGTGCTGGGACTCGGCCCCGAGTGGGCTGGGCGCTGCTCCCCCTTCTCCGGGATGGTCTCCGAGGGCGGGCCTGAGCAAGGGCCGAGCGGGCGGCCATCAGCCAGTTTCCTGGCTCACATGGGATTCTGATGGTCGGCCCAGGCTGAGGAGCCCTGTTTATCGATGGGCAAACAGGAGAATGTGGCCTCCCCGACCCTGATAGGCCTGGCACAGGGCCTGGCACTCGTTGTCCAGCACCCCACATCACAGGGCTGTGAACCCCGGGGGCAAACACCAGCTGCCCACAGGGTGCGCTTGATTCCATCGCGCACGTGGCTGCTGGGAATCACGTGCTGACGGCTCAGTGGGAGAGTGTACCGCCCAGCCAGGCTTCAGGACCTCGGAAGCGGATGTTGCTGACACGGCTTTGAGAAGGTTGTACCCTGATCTCGTGGAGGTCACTTAATCTCCCTCTGCCCTCACAGAGAGAATGAGATAATTGGCCAGCCCTGCCTTCCTGCAGCAGATGCGTGTGCTTCCCCCCTGGGCTGACTGAAGGCGGCGGAGGAGCCGGGAGGCCTGGTTCTACTTCTTGTCATGCCCCTAGTTGCTGTGTGCCCCTAGGTCAGTGACGCCCATCTCTGGGCTGCGGCTCCCTCAACGGCAACAGGAAGGGTTGGCTGGGACTATTGCCTGCTGGGCTGTGGAGTCAGTTCAGCCCACAAGAGGCCGAGGGCCTGCGAGGGAATGCTTTCAGCAGGCTTCCTGACGGTCGGAGTCATCCAGATTCCTGGAGCCAGAAAGGCAGGCCGAGCAGGGGGCGCTCAGCCCTGCTCCTGGAGCCCCGCGGGTCCTCTGGGGTTCTTGTTCCCAACGCTGGCTTCGGAGCAGGACAGACCCATGGCTGTGAGACTCTGGGCAAACTCCCTCACAGCGCCCAGCCTCGGCTGTCTCCTGTGCAGGTGGGGCGGCGGCACAGCAGTGCTGTGAAGATTGACAACTCCCCCGTGCGCCGGCCCGTGCTGAGGATGGCACATCTGTGTCTCCCTTAAGCTCTCTCTGGGACTCAGCTTTCTCATCAGGGAGAGGGGATAACAATACACCGTAAGGGTCTGCGTGACGACTCAGTAAAGAGGGGACACAGAGCACGCAGCACAGGGCCTGGCACAGAGCACAGACTCGACAAATGACCGCTTACAAGGAGAAACGACAGGAGGCTGGGACACGGCGCGGGGACGTGCTCTGCTGGGTGGCAGGTCGCACAACACATAGGAGGCCTCTGCCCCCCGTCGCTGGCCCTGCCTCCAGTGTTCTGGGTCCCACCCTGTTCCGAGCGGGGCTGACTCCTGAGATGGGAGTCATTGGGACTCTCCGCCCGTGGTCTGGGCGGCTTCCACAGCCTCCTCGTGTCTCTCCAGCTCCCACGCATGACCCTTCTAAAACCAAGTCAGACAGTGTCCCCTCTGCTCCAGACTGTCTGCGGCTTCCCCCTCATGCGGAGGAAACCCACTGTGCTCCCAGCTGCCCCTGAGGCCTCTGGTTCCGGCCGCCCCTCAGGCTTCGTCTCGCACCACCCAGTCCGGCCGTGGCCTCAGAGCCCTGTGCGGTCACCAGCCCTCTCCTGGGTCATGCTCCTCACGGCCCCGCCTCTCCAACTCCTGGGTCCTGCCGTTTCTAACCACCTCCCGAGGAGCTGCTCTGTCCGCTCGCTGGCACGGCAACGCTCACCGCCCGAAAGGCATCCAGAGCCGCTCGAGAGGTGCGAGAACTGTACTAGGAGCTCTCGCCGAGGGGGAGGCTCACCCACAGGGTGCTCAGTGCAGGCATGTGGCTGTCACTCAGGACACAGTCAAGCAAGTAAATGCAACCAAAATGACACACTTGGATGCCTCCCTGTGGTTTGAGGGCCTGTTCTCTTGTCCTCCTCTGTCCACACTCCTGCAAATAACAGTCTCCAGAGAGGCAGTGAGGCAGCACAGTGACTGAGCTCTAGTCTGCACCGAGCGCCTTCCATACGCCATCTCCCGCATCCTACTATAAACCAAGGGCACTCCTTTGAGCCTCAGTGTACAGACAGAGAAGTCGAGGGTCAGAAAGGTTAGCAATCTGCCTAAGGACACACAGCTGGTAGAAAGGGGAGCTGGGGTGGGAACTGAGGCTGCTGGACTCCAGCTCCCTGACTCAGCTCTGACCCTTTCTTGCTGTGTGAACTTGGGCAAACGACTCGAACTCTCTGACGAAGTTTCCTCAGCTGTGAAATGGGAATAATCACATTAGCTACAAAGGGCCACCTGGAGAACCACATGGGGAGAGGGCTGTGGTCGTGTTAGCCAGTGCCCAGCACACGGGGGCTGGCGGGCGAGCACCCTCCGGTAGTCCTTCTGCACAGCCCCAGGCGGGCAGCAGGGCCCTCTGCTTACCGCTCCGGTGTTCTGCTGCCGCGCATCCAGGGCTCCAGCCAGGCCATCCGTTGCTTGGGGGGCTTCATATTTTACCCTGAAACACAAAGGCCGCCATGCCCATGAGATGCTGCCCTTGCTGCACCGGGCATCCAGCGGATTCTCTGAGGATGGAGCGGGTGGGCGGGGTGCGGGACCCGCATCTGGTGCAGACTTGGGTCGTGCCTGGGCGAGGGTGGCTCAGGCCCCAGGAAGGGCTGCCTGGGAATGGTAGGGAGGGCCTCATTTCCTGCCTCAGGGAATTGGGATCAGACGTGTGACCTGTGTGACGGGCAGCAGCGAGGGAGAAGAGAGGCGAGGGTGCTGCGGGCCAAAGACCAAGACCAAGACCCCCAAGGGCTATCACCAGATCTGGCCAGACTCCAGGGAAGAGAAATAGCGCCAATGACCTCACACTCATGCAGAATTCAAATCGGCAGGCCCTTTTTTGAGCAGCTCTCATGTCATAATTCTATAACCCACGGTTCTGGAGAAGGTTGCATTTGAGTGGGGAATTCCACCCTGCTGCGGAAACAAGCGTCAGACGGTGGGGTGTGCCATCACGCACTGGCTGTCCGACATGAGATCTCCCCGCCCCTCCCTGTCCCAGCAGCACAGGGAGGGGGATTCTAAATGTCTTCGGGGGATGCCAGTTGGGCAGGGTAGGAGGACAGGAGCTGGGGGCAAATGCAAGGCTGACGGGCTGGGACGGGCAGGGTCTGACACTGCAGCTCCTGGCAGATGAGCACAGGAAGGAGGTGTTTGCTGCGTTTGTGGTGGTCTCAGGGGGAGCGAGGGAATAAAAAAGGAGTGGGAGGACACCTGCGCTAGCGAGGGGCTGGGCTGTCTCTTCTGGCGGTGATGGGGGCTGGCCAGGGGAGGTGCTGGCACACAGCCCGGATGCTTGGAGAGAGCCATTACTCTAGCTCTGAACCGCCAGCAGGAAGGGGTGAGGGCTCACGCTGGGTCAGCCCAGCTTTGGGTGAAGAACTGAGCCGCAGAATTCCAGGATCTCCCTCCAGGTACAGGCCAGGAGCACCGTGCACCCTGCACCCTGCTGAAGCCAGGGCTGGTCCACTCGAGGCTTCTGGACCTGGGGCCACATCACTTTTAACTCTTGCAATGCCAAGTTGCCTTCCTGGGAATGAGATGGACCAGCACTTAAAGGGGCCTCTTGAATGAGACCCCCAGATTCCCAGGGAGTCATTTTGAAGAGCACTGATGCCCGCCCCTTCCCACGGGCCGTGGACTGAGCCAGAGGAGTGTGGCCATTAGCTCGTTTGTCCATGGCAAGTGGGCTGGGGACTGCGTGCAGGGCCATGCTGGAGCCAGCCTGAAAGCCAGGGTGGCCGGGGGTGGGGTGTGCCCTTGCCCTTCTGGGGAGCAGCCTAGTGTCCTTGGCTAAATCTGGGCAACAGCAGCTGGCGAGGAGGAAGTGATGCCAAAGACTGAGCAATGTGTCCTGACCCTGGGAAGGCCTGCTCACCACGCTGCTGGCCCCGCATTCCAGACATGGCAAGTGCGTGAGGAAAAGGCAGAACAAGGCATGTCTAGCCTAGGAACATAGACACTGACGCTCCCTTCGCTCAGAGGAACTGCATGTTCTGTCCTAGTTACTCCCCAGCCCTCTGCTTTCGCCTCTCTCATGCCCGCAAAGCCCCCGAAGGCCAGCTTGGCAGACCAGGGGACCCTGCCTGCAGCAGTGGAGGCTGAGCACAGCCCTGATGGAGGAAGCCCACGTGGCCCCCATGGGGCTGCAGAGCCCGGGCCAGGGGTCTGCTGCCCCACGCCCAGCGCAGGAGGGAGGAGGGCTGCTCCTCAGATGGTCCCAGCCAGGCTGGTGGGCAGGGCAGGACCTGGGGCCACTTGAGAAGTTGTTCTTGGAGAAGACACAGTGGCACTGGGAGGAGGTGGAGCGTGTCCCCAGGACAGTGATGTGGAAGAAGCTGACGAAGAGCACCCTTGCTCTGGCAAAGCCTGGCTAAGGTGCCCCTGGCTCGGCCTGGCCCAGAGGCCCCCATTGCTCTCCTTGGCTCCCAAGTGGAAGGGCCTGGCCAGTGGGAGGGGCAGTGACCATGTGAGCTGTGGTCGGGGCTGGGGCAGAAAGGGAGGGGCTGACAGGGAGCTGGCTTCCCGGTGAACAGAGGCAGAGGCGGCGCGGGTCAGAGGGAGGCATGGGCCAGATACCAGGTGGGCAGAAAAGGCCTTGGAGAGTCCAAGAACCTCAGAGGACAGGGCAAGGTGGACAGTCCAAAGGCCAGCCAGGTGACCAGGGCTAGAAGATGCAGCCGAGTGTAACGGAGGGACAGCCAGGCAGGAGAACAAAGGAAAGAGGAACCCCATGCTAGGGCGCACTTTGTCCCTGCCTGCGCTTTCTGCTGGGGTGGAAACCAATCCCCAGGGAGGGCCTGCTGGAGAACCAGGGCCTGAGAAGGACACAATGTTGTTCCAGCACGTCTGCCCATCCCCGTCTCAGGCTCTCCCTGCCTCCGAGCCTCTGCATACGCCGTTCCCATGGCCTGAAACACCACCTTGACTTCCTCCGCCCCAGTGCCCAGCCCTAAGCACCCTCTGCAGAATTGCACGCCACCTCCTCTGTGTCTGCAGGGCCTGCTACACCCTCCAGGACAGCACTTAGATAGCACGGCAGTGGTCCGTGTGCACGTCCCTCTGTCCCTCAGGGCCCCACGCCCCAAATGAGTGATGGTGCAACAGCAAGTCTCAGCCAGGCTGGCGAGCCAGGCCAAACCCCCGCCCCCCACCAGCTACAAATCCCACATGACTCGTTAGCCTCCACTGGCACAGCAGCCTCCCAGTGCTCCTAACCCCATGGCAACCGTGAACTGCTGGTCCCAGGGCACCTGGACTTGGGAGTACAGACCCGTCCCAGACTAAAGATGTGGCTTACAGCTGGGCTGCCTGGCCAGTGGGCAGGGCTGTGAGCAACCCCACGCCCCGCTGGTGGCAGCCTGTCACACTTGACCTGGATTTGCCAGAGTGGAGAGGGTATCCCTGGGCCCTCTGGAGGCCCATGGACAGTTCCCAAAGACACCAGGATGCCCGCTAAGGAGCCAAGAGTCTGCTGGGAAGGTCCCTTAATCCAGAGCTTTCTTTGGCTATACAGCCTGGCTGCCCACAGCTCAGCCCAAAGGTCATAAGCAAAGCGCTGACAACCACCCCAAGCAAACTGCTTCCCTGACAGGCCTGTGTGGAGCCAGTCCCGGGACGTTGCAGCAGGGAGCCGGCCCTGGCGGACACTCGGCCAGGAGCCTTGGCTGCCAAAAGCATCTCCCTGAGAATGGGCAGTGCCCAGGGCAGAGCGGGCGGACCTGAGTGGGCAACAGGGAATTCTCTGGAAATCAAGGATGGCTATGCAACCTCAGAAATGACCGGACATGCCCCTGAGGACTTATCAGGAACCTTCCCCCCTGCCCCAGAGGGCAGTACGTGGTGTACAGAGCAGTGGGGTGCTGGGTTGGGCTGGGGACACTAGGTTTCAGAACCAGCCCTGGGTTCCCAACCCAGCACTGTCAAACATTAGCTGCCCGACCAGGGGCAGTTGACTCAGCCTCTCAGTACCTCAGTCTCCTCATCTGATCAGACTAGGTAAGATTGTGGCACATAGCTGCTCATCAACCTTGGGCGTCCCTCCTCCATCCAGCCCACCTGTGGGGCACGCAGTCCACCACTCAGCCACAGGGCTCCTCGGGCCATGCGGGGCTGACTCGGGGATAGGAAGCCTGCCCTCCTGAGAAGGTGCAGGCAGGTGCCCTTCCTTCTGCACGGTGTGCCCACCAGCAGGCAGAGTTCCGGGACTGGAGAGAGGCTCTCCTCTGGTGTGGAGCAGCCCAGACTGCAGGGAGCCGGGGGGCCCAGCCACTCACTCTTTCCGTTGGTCAGCGAGCGAGCTGCCCCGTGTCAGCGCAAACATGTCAAACTCGTCTTCCAGGCGGCCAGAGCCCTCCAGAGACTGCAGGCCAGCCCTCACGCTGCTGGAGCCCAGGTCTGCGGGGACAGAAAGGACATGTGAAGGGTCCGCCCGGCTGGCCCTGTACACACTGAGCAGTGGCTGAGCTGCTGCCTGCCAGGCCCAGGGCCAGCTCTGGAGGAGCGGCAGGGAGCAGGGTGGACAGGGTGAGCGAATGGATGGGACAGGCCACCTGCTGGCTGAGGGACTGTGGGCATGTCACTTCCTCTCTCAATTATTCCTAGCGCTTGGCACAAAGCAGGCAGTCAACAATGTTAAAACTAGTCATGCTGACAGTAAGGACTGCTAACACGTATCCGGAGGTGCCCTGGGCCTGGCACCGGTCTCTGCCTGTTTCCTGCATGAGCTCACTCAGTCCTCATGAGGACCTGGAAGGAAGGGCCCATTCCTGCCCTTGACGCAGAGGAGCAAAGAGGGGCACAGGACGTCCAAGTCACCTCCCATGCCCACCCAGATGGCTCAGGCCATGGGGAACTAACTTGGTGTCGAGGGCAGTCGCAGAACAGCGGGATTTCGGGGACCTGAGGGGGCTCGGGAGCTGTGAGGCTGCGAGGGAGAGTGCCACATGTTTGGTCCCTGGTTCTCAACCCTGCAGCAGGACGCAGCTTGGGACTCTGGTGAGGTGGGGTCTGGGCTGACGTTCTGCTGCTGACGCCCCAGCTCCAGCTGTATAACAGGAGGGCAGCCCAGTACTGCAGGCGTGCCCAAAGTACCACCACGTGCCCTTGGCCAGAGCCCCCACACGGCACTTACTCATTCCCGCCAGCTGGGACGAGAGGCTGCTGGTGGCTGCTGGGTCAGGGCCCATGTCCATCAGGTCAGCCGCCGCCTCGGCCTCACTTGGGGCCTGGGGGAAAGGGAGATGCCACCATCATCCTCCCTGCCTGCAGCCTCCTTCCCTTCTGCCCTGAGGCACGGGCACCTGCAGTCTTCGCCTGCGGACTTGTCAACAAGGCCCCCGGCAGCTACTACTGGGAGCCAGGGGGTCTTTCTTCCTGTCCTGGGCCTCTAGCTCCGCTGCACCCCGAGAGGGTGGGAAGAGCCCTGGGCATCAGCTGGTGGCAGAGCCTTATTTACGCTGAAGGGACAGTGACGTAAAGTTAGAAGGGCCTTCTCCGTGAGCCTGAGCGGAAGGCACATCCTGTCCGGGATGTCTGCGGAGGCAGGCGAGCACAGCCCTCCCTCTTCCCGCTCACAGGCATGTCTAGTCACCCAGAAGCAGCTGTTTACCTTGGCGCTCTGGCCTGTTCGGAACCGTTCAAACCTGGAAGATGGAAAAGACTCGAGTCAGGGCGCGGGACTGGGAGTGGCCCCTCAGCACAGCCCGCAGAGCTTTCCCACGGTGGGGCTCCATGTGCACGCGGGGGTCACAGTCAGGGTGACAGACCCAGTTCATGCCTGCTGTCCCGGGAATTACGAACGGTGCCTGGCTTTCACTTGCAAGAGTGTCTCAACCTAATTATCAATTACCTAGCCGCCTTAGTCACAGCTGGCATGGAGCACACACATGAACAGACTAGAACAGAAAAGAAAACGGGGCTGCACTGCACACAGCTGGGGGATGTGCTGTTTTGTGACACTTGGATTATATACTTGTGCACTTGGGTGTGTGTCACCGGCTCTCTAAAGTGGTGTAAGGCATACACGTACTCCTCACACTGCTTTATGGAGGCCCTGAGACTACCCCAGACAGGCTGAGGGGCTGGTGGGGTGGACCAAGAAGACCTTAGTCTGGGATCTGTTGCAGTCCTGGCCCTGTCATTATTGTTATTGTGTGACGTTGGGTAAATTACATCACTTCTGAACTTCAGTTTCCTTGTCTATTAAGAAGGGGGTGACAGAGGAACCTGCCTCCCAGGTGTGAGGGTCAGGCGGACACTGAGCATGAGTGACTGAGAACTGGAAAGCATCAGGCAAATGCCAGGCCTGACGACTGTGGGTGTCAGAGGGGTCCCAGTCACCCCTAGATCAGGCCCTGGGGCCACCTCACAGCTCACAGCCCAGAATGGCAGGGAGGGCACTCTTTTTTTTTTCTTTTTTAATTGAGTTAATGATAGGTTACAAACTTGTGAAATTTCAGTTGTACATTAATGTTTGTCAGTCATGTTGTAGGTGCACCACTTCACCCTTTGTGCCCACCCCCCACCCCACCTTTCCCCTGGTATCCACTAAACTGTTCTTAGTCCATAATTTTAAATTCCTCATATGAGTGGAGTCATACACAGATTATCCTTCTCTCGCTGGCTTATTTCACTTAACATAATTCCAGGGAGGGCACTCTTAATGCCACTGGGCAACGGAACAGGAGAGGCCAGGCAGATGTGGTCAGCAGCAGCCCCAGCCCACTCTTGACTGATTCAGAATCACACACCAAGTGTCTGCGATGGATAAAGCTACAACATGAACAAGGGGCTGGAGGAGGCAGGGATAACTGTCCCAGACACCCCGATGGCTGAGCGCTTGACAGGCGTTGTTGCGTGGACTCTGTTACCTACAAGAACCCTAAGCTTCGTCTTACAGATGCAGAGAACGTGTGGGGACATGTTGCCCTGCAGGCCCAGCACCCTTCTCCCTTCTTCTGAAACAGATCTAAGCGCTTCTCTGGGAACTGCTCTTGCCCCATTTCCCGTGATCCTGGTGGGACTGCCATCACGGGGCTTCTCCCTGCCCCCGACAGGTGGGCATAAGGAAGCTGAGCCACCCAGAGTTCTCTTGGGAGCTGACTCTAGGACACAAAAACCTGAGGAGGGCAGGCGTTTGCATGCCACTTATTGATGGTGACACCCTGGGGTCATGGCCCAGGAGATTCTGCTGTGGGGACCCCTGAACCACCCTGGGATCTGTCCTTCCTGCTTTGGTGTGTGGCCTCACTGTTTTACTCTTCTGTGGATTCTTTTTTTTTTTTGAGGAAGATTAGCCCTGAGCTAACATCTGCTGCCAATCCTCCTCCTTTTGCTGAGGAAGACTGGCCCTGAGCTAACATCTTCCTCTACTTTATACGTGGGACGCCTATCACAGCAAGGCATGCCAAGCAGTGCCATGTCTGCACCCGGGATCTGAACCGGTGAACCCCGGGCCGCCAAAGCACAATGTGCATACTTAACCGCTGCGCCACCAGGCCGGCCCCTCTTCTGTGGATTCTGAAAGCTATCCCTTTAATGAAGGCTATTCTCCTAACAAATTCTTTTCCTGCTTAAGTGAGCCAGAAACGCTGTGTGTAGCTTACAGTCAAAGAGCACTAATTAAGTCAAGTAACGCATCCAAGGCCCAGGGCCGGGCAGAGGTGCAGTGAGCACAGACAGAACCAGGACTGTGTGGCTGCAGGCCCATGCTCGCAGCCACCGCCGCTGCCGTCTCCAGGGCTGGATGCAGGGGCACGGGCGGCAGGGTGAACTCTGGAAGGAGAGGGGAGGTGGGTGGAAGGCTGGGCGTTCGTGCGGGAAGAAGACAGCTGAGGGCACACGGACTGGAGGGCAGGCGTGCTGTCTGGGAGGTGTGAACCAGGGAAGCAGGAACCAGGGGAGGGAGAAGGCTGGGGCAGGCGGACAGAGGCCGGGGGAGGCGGTGGGGCTACCGTTCGTGGCGCAGGAACACGTTGTTGAGATTGTCGTTGACGATGAGCAGCTCCTCCGTCAGCTGCTCGTTGGCGATGCGGGGGATGAGCTCCAGGACCCGCTGCTGCATGGCTCGGCACGTCCGGTTGAGCTCCTGCGGAGGGAGGGAGGGGTTCAACCATGGCCACTGGAGCCAGAGTGAGGCCATCCCTCACGGATGTCCAGCCCCCGGGCGTGCCTGGGAGGGAGAGGTCCCCAGACTGGACTTCAAGTTCCACAGAACGGCTTTGGGGTCTACAAACGAGCATGTGAATTCCACTTCTCAGTGTTCTACACCAACATTCAGCACACAGGGGACAACACTGTGTTCAACGGCGTTGCTGGTTTAACCTGGCTCCGTGCAGATTTGAGAATGAGGTTCCTGCTGCCATCTCTGCTCAGGGGAAACACTGAGACTGCAGGGGGCTGGCTGGACAAACTGTAGCTCCCCCGGGTGGACCGGGGTCTTCGGCAGCCAGAGCGTAAAACGAACCAGCTGACTCCACTACTATCCACGAACCCCGTCTCTGGATTTCTGCCTCGTTATTCTCACTAATTTCTTAATCCTTTTTATTCGGGAATAATTTGAGATTTACAGAAAAGTTGCCAAGATAGTACAATACAGAGTTCCTGTAAACCCTTCCCCCGGCTGCTTCTTAGTTTGGCATTTGTCAAAACCAAGACATGAACATTCGTTCAATGCTATTGACTAAACTAGACTCCACACGGTGTCACCAGTTTTCCACTAATGCTCTTTTTCGGTCCCAGGAACCCAAATTACATATACTTGCCATGTCACTGACAGACTTTTAGTCAGTAAGGGTTATATATTTAAACATGTTGCGGAAAAAAAACCAAGAGCCATAGCATTACAGGTTTTTCATTTGTAAGACTGAGCGTTTCTTCCTTCGGGCTCCTGCCACCAGGTGGACGGGTGGCTGGGTCCTGGTCTTGAGGTCCAGACGGACGGCAGGCACTGCTGACTGTGGCCACGTGCCGGCACTTTTCCGCTGGCGGCATTAAGATGAGGCACTGCCCCAAAATTGACTTTGGTTCCATTTTGGACCCTGTTACCCACCCCCTCCTAGGCCAGGCATTCTTCTGGAATTTCCTCACCCACCTTGAGCGTGGGGCAAGGCAGGCCTGAGCGACCTTCAACACCCTTCGGGCCTCCCCTCTCTTCCTCCATGACCAAGCACACTTGTGGTTTGTTCCCACTTCCTTGCCCGCCCCTCTCAAGAGCAGAAGAGCAGCGGGTGGAGCAGGGCCCTGTGTTCAGATCCTGCCTCTGCTGCTTACCAGCCTCATGACCCTGGGCACACCACATGACCTCTCCTTGCCTCAGTTTGCTGACCTGGAAATGGTAAGAGTCCTAACCTCATGGGGGCGGTGAGGATTAAGTGAACGGATGTCTGTCAGGTGTCCACACCAGCAGCTGGCATGTGGGAAGTGCTCGATGCACACAAATGGCTATCCTGTCAACCCTGGCCGCCAGCTCCAGCTTCTCAGTCCCCGAAATCGCTCACACCTGCCTGGCCTGGGCTTGGACACAGGAAATGCGCTGCAGCAATCCCGCTGCTTCCCAACCTGCCCGAGCTGCTCTCAGAAGGCCTCACTTACTCTTTGCATTCATGTGTTCGTTCCACCCTGAGACTCCAACTTTACTCCCCCCAGGCGGTAAGGACCCCTGAGCAAGTACCCTGTGTCAGCGTAGTTAGGCACAGCACGAGACAGCCCTGCCTGCAAGGAGCCTGAGGCCCAGCAGGGGACAGATAAGACATGAGACAATCACACCAACACTCTGTCCCTCGTGGGTTCAGGTGACTCTTGGGCCTTGGGGTCTCTGGCGTCTCTGTGAACTGGCCTCCACTGGGAGGATGCCTTTCTCCAAATATAGTCCCTTCTGCTCCAGTGGTTCCCCGCTGGGAACCATGGGACTACTGTGGGACACCCAGGAGCAAAACCCCACCTGCCTCAGCTCCTCAGGACCAGTGCTCCTTCATCTCAAAGCTGGCTCTGCTCTCTCACGCCTGCCTGCTAAGCTTCATATTCTGAAGGTGGAAACCTCGCCTTCCAGCTTTTTCTCAATACCTTTTATTGGAAGCTATTCTGAAAGAGGAACATGCAAAACCTTACTTAATTCTCATGTCAAACTTGTACCACAAAGGCTATTATTAGGGCAATCGTACAGATGAGGAAGCTGAGGTAAGAGGGGCTATTTTGTTCAAACCAGAAAGTGAGAGAGCCCCGAATTCCAACCTGATGGAGCCCAAAGTCCCCGGCTTTAACACCCCCCACTGTGACCAAGGAGTTCAGAGGAAGCCATGAGAGCTGCAGTGGGGGTTGGGAAGAAATGTGTGCGGGCAAACGAGCAAGAAGTCACCTGGGGCCGGGGGAGGCTGAACCTGGGGGGTATGCTTGCTCACCTGTAGCAGCTCCAGGTCTGCGGGCTCTGCCTCGGTGGGCACCAGCTCCGTCAGCATCTCTGACATCACCCTCACATTCCCGCTCACCATCTCCAGCTCGCTGCGCAGCTTCCCAATCTGAAACACACGTGGACCCGGTGACAGAGGCCAAGAGTCCCGAGCCATTGCCACACACAGGGATGCAGCCTGGCATCACCAGCCCTGGGTGTGGCACTCAGAGAAGTCAACTTGCCAGCACCCTCTCTAGAATCCCAGGCCACAGCCCTGCACTAAGAGGCCCAAAGTGGGCTTGCCCCCACCCCACAGAGGCCCCCCGCACAGAGGTGCTACCAACCGTTACCATCTCCAAACTGGGGAGCCTGGTGCAGGGAGAGGCTGACAGGAAAGGAGCTGAGGGTGAAGACACCAGAGTCTGGCAGGAGGGCTGCAGCATCCCCTGGGTTCAACGCAGCAGCTAACGAGGCCCTGGAGGGCGGCTCCCCCCAAGGGAAGATAAGGGAAGCTGAAGGCCCGCTTCCCTCCTAGGATGATGGGGTTTCTCGCTCTCTCCTCCTAGGACAAGGGATTTCTCCCTCTCTCCCCTCCTAGGGTGATGGGATTACCCCTCTCCCCTCCTGGGATGACGGGATTACCCCTCTCTCCTCCTAGGATGACGGGATTTTGTCTTGCTCCTGGTCTGCTCTTCCAAGGATGAGTCCCAGTACCACCCCCCACCTTGAGTGCGAAACTCAGACTCAGCACTTGTTAAAGGGATCTTAGCAGGTTTTCAATGATCAAAGGGTTCCAAGGTCTTGGCTTGGGGAATCATCATCAATCAAGCTTCAAGGTCTCTTCAGCAGATGAGGTGGTGAAAGGCCAGGGTCTCAGGCTGTGGGCTCTGCAGTCTAGTCCCCTCATGAGCACTGCATACTGTGGATGTCCAGGAAGGGACCAGTATGGAAGTTCCCCAAAGTGACCCGCTGAAGAACCCTCTGATCACGGAACATCTCATGGGTCTAGTATTTAGCAGGCTACATCTTGAGAAATGTTGGCACGTTCTAAATCGTGTGACCTAGATGATTTCAGAATATAAGTGTCACCACATAAATTCATGATGCCTGTGACAGCAGCTACCATTTGTCTAGCACCTACTAAGCGCTAAGCACTTACTGTACCCTGCTAGTTAGCCTTTACCACAGTCTGCCGAGGCAGGTGCCACCACCCCAGCCTTTACAGATGAAGAAGTGGGAGTGCAGACAGGGGCAGTCCATCTACTCTGGTTCACTGACACCTTCCAAGCCCAGAAAACGTTGGTACCCGTAGCCTATTTAATGAACACTCTTGGTATAAGCGAGTGGAAAAACTACTGGTCACAAACCCCGCGTGTCAGGCCAGATGGGACCTAATTACAGCGGAGTCTAGGAGTTACATGACCACGTGCCGAAGTCTTAACATGTCCCAGGAGAGAAAAGGGGACTCTGTAATTAAACATGCACCACTCAGTTTCATTTAGCAAGAATCTACTTGTAGTAGACGTAATCAGAATCTCCACGCACACAGATGCTAGGCTTCAGGCAAACTGGTTAAAATCATTTACCAGGTTAGACAAATTGTGGATCACAGGGAGATTTTATAATTTTTTATGCACCTTTAATTATTTGCCCAGTTATGAAAACTTTTCTAGTAATATTTTAAATCTGGGGGGTGATTTCATAACTTGCTGTAAGATAACAAAGTACAGAAGTTTCTCTTAATAGGTTAGGGTGTGAAAGGATGCTGGTAAAGTTTATCTGTTTATAAATCCAAACAATATTGTACAAGAGATCAGTGGGTGCACCCTGGAAAGTCAAGTTTCACTTCTATTTCCATCATTTATCTGTATCTTTCTCACGAGCACTTTCACACTTTGCTGATGTGGTGGGTCTGAAGTTTGTAAAACCCTCAAAAGTGGGTGCCCCTACAGTGTGCAGGCCTTGACCCATACCCCAATAGCCGAGCCTAAAATGACTGAGCACCCAGCCGATGCCAGTCACGGCTGTGGACGTCCCTTGCGGGGAGAGTGGCTTTGGCACGCCACAACTGCTTTCGGCCAACGGGCAGGTTACCTCCAACTTTGGGAGGAAGAAACTGAGGGTCAGAGGCTAAGTTGGTGTGCCGCCTGGTTGGAGCAGGGTGATCCTTCAAAGCCACTCATGGGGCCCTGGGAAAACCTGCCGCAGGCCCCGAACCTTACACTTCGCCTCAAATCTTCTTCTTGGGGCTTTGTGGCAAGCATCACGGTGCAACACAAGGGTTTTAAAAACATTTTTGTGTAAATGTTTTAAAACTGTTTTTAGCCAGAACCTCTGTTCAGATGGAACCTTATGTGAGCACACGAGCAAACCACACAAGGAAAGTGGAGCTGTGGTGGCTGAAGGGCCGCCTGCTGAGTGTTTCCTCTCCCTGGCGCTCGCCCAAGGCCTCCACAGAGAACACGGTTTAGAGAACAAGACAGCACCAGCTTGAAGTCAGATAGATGTGAACTTGAATTCTGGCACTGTCTCTGATGAGCTGTGTGGCTCTGGGCAAGTGAATTTCTCTCTCTGAGCCTCATCTCCCAAACAGGAAGACTGAGGCACACCCTGTGGGGCTGCTGGGATGACTGAGCAGGGGCTCCTCGATGGTAATTTCTGTGGTGACAGGGGCCGCTCCCTGACATGTGCACCATCCTGCCCCACGTGGCTGTGACCCAGGCTCATCTGTTTACCTGCTCAGGGGTTGGCGTTATGGGTGCGTCACTGGGGAGCACGGCTGGGGTGGACAGAAGGGCAGTGTGCTGGCCAGAGTCCCCTCGCTGACTGGTGTCAGTGCCCGCAGAATTCTGTCCTGATGGTGTCTCCGAATTGAAAACAGTCTAGAGGGCAACAAACAGGATCAGGAGGCCGGTGAGCCCCCGGGGAGTCAGGGGCTGATAGGAAGTGGCTGCAGAAACAGCCTCTGATGACTGTTCCTGCCTCCCTTCCCACTGCTCCCATCTGTGGGTCTCCTCACCCTCTGGGGCGTGTGGATGGGTGACAGCATGTCCAGGTCAGTCATCGGGAACTCCAGGCCCTTCCTCCGCAGGTCCTCGTAGACAGCGACCACACCTGTCAAATCGGGTGAGCTGCGGAACGCGTCAGCCCAGGACTGAGAGGGGACAAGGGGACGTAGCTGGTAACCACAGCTCATCGTCTCCCCATGAACCCGTCTACCCACCCCCAGAGAGCAGAAATTCCTTCCCTGACTTGCTGGTCCTTTGACTGCATCACCCAGACAGCCCCTCCACAGGAAGGCCCAGTCGACAGGCCTCCCACACTCAGAACATCCAGTTAGCAGACAAGCAAGACGGCCCCAATGAGAAACAGACTGAAGCCAACAGAAAGAGAGCAGCACTGGGGGACCTTTCTCCCCAGCCCTGGCACTTTCCATCGAGAAGGGAGCTGGCACTGACTCACCCTGGTCCACCCGCCCCACCCCCGTGCTCACCTGGATGAGGTTGAGCACCTTGTCGTGCACAATGGTGGGCGGGTTGTTCTTGGGCAGGATGGTTCTCACCAGCACGCCCTCCACGAAGTCCTGGCTGGCCACCAGCACATGGAAGCGGTGCCCGCAGTTCTTGACGCAGGTTTCTAAGACCTGGAGGCCATGAGGTGCCTGTGAGCACTGTCACAGGAGGCAGAGCACCCAGGAGCCCACCCTTGCACTCTGCTTATATCCCAGAGCCGGGCTGAGCAGAGGCTGGGGCTTCCTGCAGTGAGACCCTGGAACAGGGAGAAGCGGGGACAATGCCGGGCTTCGGGGGCTGGTTTCCTGGGGGATGGGGCTGGGGTGGGCAGAGGGAGGGATGCTGGCCAAAGCCTCCTTGCCGAGAGGCCTCAGTGCCCACAGAATCCTCTCCTGATGCTGGTTCTGAGCTGAACACCGTCTAGAGGGGAGATGGCTCTCCAGTCAAACGGTGGCCCTGCAGCCCAGGGAAGGCCCCACTTAACCTTCTACGCCCACCCCTCGTTCCCGCTGCCCTGCAGGAGCTGCCCTTGCTGGGCACTTTAGTGGACTCCCCTGAACACAAGTGCTGCTTTGGGGAGGCTGTGACTGAGGGTTCTCGGCCCTGCTCCCCAGCCCACCCACCCCGACTGCCAGGATGCCCACCTGTGGCTGGCCCAGCCTGTTTGGGCAAGGACTGCCCTCGGCCACCAGCATGTGTTTTATGTTCCTTTTTCGGGGTGCCCAAGTGCTGATCAGCACCCATCTCGGCCTCCAGGCTCCCCACCCCACAGAGGCCCGGTTCACTGAACTTCTATGTCACCCTACAGGTCCCTTGGACCAGGCTCTCCAGGTCTGGTTCTGGAGGGATGTGGCCTCAGGGTGTCTGTTCCCCATGTCACTAGGTTGGAGAGAACTTTTCCAAAATGTCCTCTCTTGCCACTCTGTGTCTGCTGGTGGTGTAGACAGGGCAGCACTGCCCATGGACCTTTCCTTCCTAGCCCTTAGAAGAGGAGCTTGAGGGTAGCTTGGAGTCCTGCTGGGCCTGGGGGAGGCCACCCCCAGTGGACATGGCCCTGCCATGGACAGACGGACAGGGTCACTCACCGTGAGAGCCAGCATCACCTCGTGGAAGTTCTTATTGCCCACGATCCTCTTCTTCACTGCTCGGAAGGCATCTCTGGGACTGGGCAGAAGGACAAAGGAAGGACGGGATGAGGCACGGACTCTCCTTATCCAACAGGAGGATGGCTGCCTGCGGCCAGGAGGCACCGGAGAGCGAGAATGGCTGCTACTGCCCAGGCCCCGTGTCCCGTCTCTGTTTTCTGTGCATCCCGGTTCCAGTCACAGCTGATCTTCCTGCCCCTCCACAGTCCTCTCAGTAGCTCGTGGCTGCTTAGCAGGGATCCTCACCATGTGCTCCCTGCACCTCCTGCACCAGGAACTCTGTGCAGGGAGGTCTGAGTGTCTGCCAAAAATGCAGAATCCCGGCCCCCCAGAACCCTAACCCAGACTATGGGGGAATCTGTGGGTTTATCATGCCCCCAGGAGCTTCTTACGCCTACTCTAGTTTAAGGACCAATAAATAACCTGGAGGCAGAGTCCTAACGCCCCACCCCGGCCAGTTCCTCCATCCATCCAGGCTTCCACTCCCCATATGCCAGCACCATGCTGCGTGCTGTGCATACACCGGGGAACAAGACCACGCAGCCCTGCTTTCAGGGGTCACACGTTCCAGGGAGACCCACCTAAGTGAGGGAAGTAAGCAGGTCCTGCGGTAACAGTGAGTGGGTGTGGGTGGGGGAGGGGTCAGTAAAGTCTTCTCTGAGGAGGTGGCATCGCAGCTGAAGAGGAAAGAGATGCAAAGGAGAGATGGAGCCTGCTGCGTGCAGGGGTGCGGGGCGGGGAAGGAGCAGTTCCCATAGAGGCAGGACCTGGACCAGGCCCTGGGGTGGGGAGGAACTGAAAGGAGGCCAGAGGGTGGGGAAGGTGGAGGGAGGGGCTGAGGAGGCCCAGCGGTCACTGCAATGGGGGTGGATGCACCGAAGTGCAGGGGGAGCCCGGAAGGCCTTGGGCGGGCAGCCTGCTCTCCCTGTCCCACCTGTAACCGCTGCCACCTTCTGCACCTCGCCCCTGCATCCTGCCCTCAGCCCCGTGCAGGTGTGAACAGTGTTGCCTGACCTCTCTCGCCTGTGTTTGTGGACCCTCGTCTTTCACATCTACTTGGTGAAGGCCCAGCTAAAACCCGCCTTGCCCATGGTGTCTCCCATCCTCCATCTCCCTGGCATGCCCTACCACTGGCCCAGGGCCTACTACCAAAGACGACACCTCCTAGAGGACAGGGAAAGCGTCCTACTCGACACTCTGCCTCCCAGAGCCCAGCATGCCGCAGGAGCATGAGTAACATTTCCCAGGCCAGCGACTGGCTGTTGGGGCCTACCCTGCTGTCTGCCTGCCTGTCAGTGCTGACCCCATCAGGGGCAAGTTAGGAGAGGTGGGAACCCCAACACAGGTCCCCCAACATGAGTGAAGGTGGCAGGCAAGGCTTCCTGCAATGGACCCTGGGAGGGGCGGAGCCTGGAGGCCCGTCAGGGCTGCGATGGAGAGACTATGGCCCCTGAGAGGGCGGGACCCTGTCCCAGAAGAGTGAGGGCAGTTTTCAAGCCAACACCCTGGGCAGCTCCTCAGCCTCGGGCTAGGAGCTCCTCAGGGGAAGCTGGTTTGTTCCTGGCTTGGCTGCTCACCTGCAGCCCCTTCAGCTCTCCAAAGGGACTCGTCTCCACTCCTTACAGAGGGGCCCAGGGAACGGGTGCAGCTTTGGGACTCACAGTTCTGGCCTGTGTGCCACTACAGTGGGCCTACTGTGTGTCTAGTACTCTGCTAGAGCACAAAGTGGGTGACAAGTGGCTTCTGCTAGGCCACAGGACAAAGAGGGGTGGACAAGAGACTCAAGTCTAGACGACAAGCTCGGGGGGCCAAGGTGCACGTCTGCCTTGTACTCTGGGTCCCCGGTGCTTCGTCAGTGCCTGGGCACAGGAGGTGCCCACATCAACAGCATGCACCCGAGTGAGCCGAGCCCCAGTTCTTCCGACGTTTACGACGGAGACGGGGACCTGCTTCTCTAAGGACAGAGCAGTGACTTCCAGCCCCGATGTTCATGAAGCCCCCAGGCCTCTTCAGGGGCTCCATGAGGTTTTCTGCCTCTTGTTCTTTCTCTTGGTGGCCCTGCCATCTGCCCACCACTCTCATCCTCGACTCTTACGTGTCCAGACGCAGGTGCGAGCATCCCCGCCCAGCTCCCCGGCTGGAAGGTGCCCAGCGGCCACTGTGCTCTCCTGACTGGCCTTGACTGAGCCTCCCTGGGGCTTGAGCTGGGTGCTCCCTGCTAGCTGCCTGCTCCCAGCCTGCCCTTCTACACACAGAGCACTACGGGGAGAGAGGAGCCTCGCGGGCCAGCTGGATTATCTGTGAAAGGCGGAGAGAGCAGCAAGAGCCTGCTCCAACTGCTGGTCCTGATTTTCCCGGAGGCAAGCCTCATCTGACAGCACCTCCTGCTGGTCGTGGCTGCACACCCCTCCCACCCTTCCCTGGGGTTTCCTGGGAAGGAGAGTGACCTCCATCCCCTCCCTGCTCTCCCGAGGGACTTGGGCTTATGGATGGAGGGTGGAAAAGTTTTGCCTTTGAGGACAAAGACCCAGAGAGGTAAAGCAGCTTGCCGAATGTCACAGAGCTGGTCAGCGACGGCTAGTCGCAGGTCAGGAGCCAAGACCATGACGTCTCCCTCCTACCACGTATGTGCCTCGGCAGGCTCCTTGGCACTGAGCAGGCACAGGGACCTGCGGCCTGGAAATGCTCGGCACAGGCTGCCTCCGATTAGCCTCCCGGTTCTGCTTCACTTTCACTGCTCTCCTCGTGACCCCTGGCACTCCTGCTGGTTCCCAATCTTGAGGAAATGAAAGTCTGTTCTTGCTCATTGAGAAGCGGGAGTCCCTAACTCCCACCCCAGCTCACAAGGTGCAGAATGGTGCCTGGGGCTGCCTCCTGACTCTCCAAGTCCCAGCTGGCTCTGTCCTAGGAAGATGCTGCCCAGGTGACGTCCTAGGAAGATCCCGTCAGCTGGGCTGCTGCCGAGGGAGGCGGTGTGGGCTGGCAGTGCCCAGAGGCCAGCTGCACCCCTGGTGTGACTTTGAACGTTATATCTCTCGGCTTCTCATCCATCTGATGAGAGGGCTGGACTGGATCTTGGTTCCAAAATGTTTAAAGTGCTGTATTCCTGCCTACAGTGGGGTCCAGCAGCCCCCTGCGGCCCCTCCTGGCACTGAGGGGCACACCTGGGGTCCGCCTTGACAGCTGCATTAGTGGCGACTCAGGGGGGCTCTCTGGCAGGAGGCAGGGTGTGGAGTCCCCGCTGCGCCCCGACCTCTCCTTGAGGGCCCTTACCCTTCCTCGGTCTCGTTGATGATGTCGCAGATCTCCATGTTGAGGGCCCAGTCCTCGCTCTGCAGGGAGCCATCTGTAGCTTTCTCTGAGGAGAAGAAACCACAAGTCACAGAGGTGTGTAGGGGTCCCAGAGGGACAACTCAAATAGTGGGGTGGGGGTGTGTGGTGAGCTGGGGCAGGGCGAGAAGAGAGGGAGAAGAGGGAGGACAATGGATGCCTTCTGGGCACCCGAGAAAGGCCAGGCAGTGTGTAAACGTGTCCCACTTTGTCCCTTAATCCTTATAGTAGTCATGTGAGGCAGGGAGTCCTACATTCTTTGCTGAGGAAGCCACAGCTCAGAGTACCAGATGGATCCATGGGACAGGAATCCAGCAGCCCTGCCCTCAGTGACTGTTTCTGACATGACAAGATAAAGACAGTGTTTTGTTTTATTTTTGTAAATAAAATGTTCCTTTTTGACTCTCTATTATCTTTGGCTTGGTAACCATTCACATGATTCAAAATATAAAAGGTTCTAAAGGAGTATGCGATGGAGAGTGAATCTGTCTGCTCCCCCGCCCCAGCCCCGCTTCCCAGAGGCCCCCCCTGCAACCCGTTTCCTCTCAGATCTCCCAGAGACATGCTCTGCCTACGAAGGAAAGGACACGGTGCAGTTTAAATCCAGACTCTGTCACCAACAGGTGGCCTGGCCTTCGACTTCCCCTCTGAGCCAGTTTCTGTCTGCAGACGGGGTGGACCCCGAGCCACCAGCACAACTGCCCTGCAGAGTGGCAATGATGCACGAGGCCTCCACATGGTACTTGGCCCAAAATAGGTGCTCAGAGAGTGGGCGTGGTTCTTTTTTTTAAAATTGGGTGAAGGTCACATAACATAAAATTAACCTTTTCAAGTGTACAATTCAGTGGCATTTCGTACGTTCACAGTACTGTGCAATCAGCTTCTCCGTCTAGTTCCACATTTTTAGGGAGAGCTGAGGCTCTGGGAAGCTGAGTGACCCCTCACTCGTTGCACAGCTACTGATGTGCCAGTCCTGCTCCAGGCACTGGGGATGCAACGGTGGGTCAGATGGCCACGGTCCCTGCCCTATGGTACCCAAAGAGGCCGAGGCATGCTCTGAGCCCATGCCTGTCAGGACGGGGCGGGGGCAGTCTCCGTGTGACTGGGCAGGGCCCTCTTCTAGCCAGGCAGGCAGGCCCATCCTGTAGGACAATGCCGGGTTGGGCTGGCACAGTCAGCTCCCTAAAATTGTGGCTTCTGTGATCTTTGTTTTGTAGTTGGCCTGATTTCCTTTCCACCCAACTTTGGGTTCTGAGGCCAGATGGAAGCCAGGGTGGCTCAGGACACATGCAGGCGGCTGAGGCCTCCAGGGACGGACCCAGCAGCAGGGCTGATTGCTTTACTCCCTAGATTATGGCTGGGGGAGGGGATGGAAGGGCCCCTTTAAAAGGTTGAAAGGTGGACTCATTCATCCCACAATTATGTCCTGAGTGTGGCTTCCGTGTGCCACACTCCCCACCCTTGGGGACTCACACACTTACTGAGCCACATGGGAAGGAGCAAAGAGAGCTGGACAGGGGCCCCTCTGAGCAGAGGGGGCCAGGCCCTACTTTGGAGGGTCCGGGGGCAGTGGCTACTCAAACATTCAAAACCTGTTCCTCCTCCAGAAACCACGTCTCAGTGACCCAGTCACAAGGCCCAGAAGGATCAGTCACCCTGACTCCAGGCCTACATCTAATGGCTCCAAAGTCCTGCCAATTCCAGCTCCAGACTCTCCCCACCCTCCCTATTCCTTTCCACCTTGTCCTCTGTCCCTGCCCCGGCCCGGCTCCCATCCTCTCTCACCGACCCCACCTCAGCTCCTCCTGCCTTGCCCCATTCTCTGTGCTGCCCTAGAGTGAACTTCCTGAAACTTGAATGTGACCATGTCCCTCCTGTGCCCCAAATCCTGCAAAGGCTCCCTGGCGCTCAGCCTGGCCTGCATGCCCTTCCCCAGGAGTAATACTTTAACTTCCCAAGTTATGCACTGTGTAACACCAAGCACCGTTAGCTGTCTCCATGAAGAGTGTGATTGACTCCTCACGGCCCTCAGGTGTCCATCACTGTCCTCATCTGGTAATGAGGAGACTGAGGCACAGAGAGGGCACATGGTGGTAAGGCAGGATTGGCCGTGGATGCCACCGCCTCCATCTCTCATCAGGGCTCAGGGAGCTCTGCTTTCCCAGAAAGGCTCTCTGGACCACTCAGGCCATCTGCCCCTCCTCCCGGACCCCGGCTCCACCTGCAGGCCTCTCGGCAGTTCCTCAATCAGGTCCCCTTGTGACCCCGCAGCAGCCACTAATAATAATGGGCACCTCTTTTCTTCTAGGGGAGAAAAGGGATTAAGGTCATTTTGGAAAGGCAAGTGGCTGTCAAGGTGGCAGCTGGGATATTTGTAAGTCTGAGGAATGCCATGCCATCGCAGGGAATCAGTGAGCGCAGAAGGACCTGGAGCGCACGTCTGATGGCCATCTGAGCACAGCTGGCAAGCTCTTTAGTCCTGGGCACCAGCAATGGGCGGAGCCACTCAGAGGATGGAGTTTTTTAGGGGGTGGAGGGAAATGGAGGGGTTTCAGTCAGTCTAAACAGGAAGGGGGAGAGGGAGGGAGGAAGAGGCAGCAGAGAGACAAGATCCATCTGACCAATTTCAGCAGAAGAAAGGTGTGCCCAGACCCGGACAGATGCAGCCCACCTGCGTCCTGCCAGCTCCCCGCAGTCTGGAGCAGATGGCAGGCCTGCAGAGAACTGGGACTTCCTTAACAGAGACTCGCACGGGGTGGGCGTGCTCCAGTAAGGCAGAAACATAAACCCACGGGAATCTGGGGCTACTGGCTTCGTTTTTGTTTTTAACCGCAATAGTAACTCAGCTTGCTATTTTAAGAAGGGTGAATAAAAACCAGTGACAAGCGTTACCAGTTCCAAGAGAATGACAGCTGACTGCCCGACCTCGGGGGTGCCGGCAGTAGCCTTTGAAGCCCCTGGGCAGAGCTCTGCTCGGGTCCCCAGCTCCTGAGGACGTCAGGCTTGGGGCTGTTGTCGAGGGCTGGCAGGCCTGTGGATCTGGATCACTGGGCGCCTGTCTGTCTGCCCAGTGGTCTGTCCTCTCCATGTCTGGTCTGGTGCAGACCCACCTCCCTGGAGAGCTCCCAAGAGTCTGCCCATATGGTGGCATAGTGAGGCTGGGCTGTGGCACAGCTTTGCAGTGGGGTGAGTCTGACCCCCGCCCCTTAACTCGGAGACCACGGGCAAGGATCCAAGCCCTCAGAGTCTCTGTTTCCTCATCTGTAAAACCCAGATAAGACTGCCTGCCTCACAGGGCGACGAGATTTTTTGGCCAGACAATGTGTGTACCACGTCAGGCAGCGAGCAGCGATGAGTCACTGCTGGGTACCATGGCTGTGACTTGGGCCGGGAACAGGAAAGAGGGGCCACCAAAGATGCTCCAGCCCCAGCCCCTGGCCCCGGCCTGTTCAGCCCCAATAGCTGGGAAGCCTGCCCTCCCGGTCACAGGGGAAGCCCTGCTCCCACAGCTGCTCTGGAGGAGGCCACTTCTGTGGGTGCTCGGTGGGACCGTGGTCAGCATCATGATGCGAGCCACGACGACCAGCTCCTGCCCAGCTCAGCGGGGAGGGGAGCGGCCCGGGGCCTTCTCCCCATAGCCCTGCACATTCAGACAGTTGCCAAGTCCAGTGGATTTCAGCTGCTCGACGAATCTCAGAGTTGCCCCCGACTTCATCATCACCGCGACAGCTCTGGTTCAGGCCCCGTCACCTCCTCCAGGCCTGGACCGGCACCACCACCCTCTTCTCTCAAACATAAATCCTACCAGTACTTTTCTCTATCTAAAAATTGTCCATGACTCCCCACTGCCTGCAGGTCAGAAACCTGACCTCTCGGGCTGAGAGGGACATGCGGGACTGACCTCAGCCACGGTCAGCTGTGTTCTCCTTTGCAGGCCCTGTCCTTTCATGCTTCTGGGCTTCTGCCTGGAATGCCTTTCTTCTATTCAGTCAGGCATCAGTTCACAGAGGAGGATGATGACGACGACCCCACCACCACCACACTCACTGGGCACTCAGCATGGGACTCGGCACTTCACGCCAACTCAGTTACCCCTCACCACAGCCCTTAAGACGAGGTGAAAAACTGAGGGGCACAGAGAGGTCACTGACTTGCCCAGGGTCACACAACTTGTAAGTTGCAGAGCAGAGATTCAAACCCAAAGAAGCCTGGTTCCCAAATCCAGGCTCTTACCCACCATGCTATGTGCCTCTCAAACATACTCAACACTTGTTGTCCAGGCCCCAGGGAGACACTGGGAGGCAAAAATGACCAGGTCCTACCCTTAGGATGTTTATAGTCCAGTGGGAGGTGACTGTGACATTACTAAGGGTGCAAATGCTGTGACAGAAAGCCCAGGCGCTGAGACAGTAGCAGGGCTGTGAGACTGGATGGGCTGATGTGGAAGAGGAAATGAGTGCGAGAGTCCCTGCGCATCTGTCAGGGCCCTACCCCAGTGTCAGCCCCTCTGCGCTGCCTTCCACTGGGCAAACTGGGTCACTCCTCAGCTAGTGTTGACAGCAACATCATGACTACCAGTGACAATCCGACTGGCATGCACTGACTGTCAGCCTGTGCAGGATGCTCGGTGTACCCCTCTTGTGTCACCTCCCCACAGCCCCCACCGGGTGGAGTGGCAGCTGATGCCCATGGCCGGAAGTGGAGGAATGGGGATGCACAGCCAGGCCTGTGGCTCTAAACCCGTGTGCTCTTATTCTGCTCCGCCCTCTTGAAGGACATCTGTACCTGACCAGGGTGGACTCCCGCTCCTGGGGACATCTCTGCGTCTCTGCCTCACTGGGGCCGACCCTCTAGTGGGGCAGAGAGTAGAAGTTTGCTCAGCGTTTGTGGAAGGACTGCGCCTCCAGACTGTCTCGTGCTCCAGTTCAAGGCCGATCACCCGTCACTCCCCGCCCTGATAATAGCATCGTGTTTCACTAACCCTAGGCTCTCCTTTTCCACTCCCCAATCCCTCCGATATTAGACACT